ACCTTCCCATTACAACTGCGTGTTAACCAGCTGTTCTATTATCGGCAACTCGAAATCAACCCCATTTTGTAGTGCGTATGCTTTATTTGAAGAAAAATGTAGCATTACTGGATTGCTCGATCGTTCAAATATAATCAGATTGAAGCTGAAAGGCTAAACAATCGTTTGGACACATTCAGGGAAGTGCGTTGATGGGAAAACATAGTGAAATTAACGTTTAAATTTTGGTTGCCGAAAACAGTCAATGGGTGCCGAAGCCAACATTTACCCTATCATTGCCTTTATGGCTACTATTTCCTCGGGCTAACAAGAGCCAGGCTTGCCGTAAGAGCAAAACAACAATCAGTGGCTGGATAACATCCTACGAGGAGAATGGACTACTTTCCTCTAAGCAGCGGGAGCAAGTATTCCGGAAATTCAGTACACGACAAAGGCAATGGATTTTGGACCTCTACCATCAGAACCCGATTCTCTACCTTGAGGAATGTCGAGATCTTTTCTACCAACGGTTCCAGATCAAGATTAGTGGATCATCTATCTGCAGAATTTTGCATGCTGAAGGATTGACGTGGAAGGCTTTGGAACGAAGGGCCATCCAAATCAAAGAGCATGAAATTCTCCGTTACTGCTCAGAACTAAGTTCTTTTGATTGGGATACGTATCAACTAGTATTTCTAGACGAAGTGTCGTTGGATAACAGAAGCATCTTGAGGAATCTTGGCTACGGGATCAAGAGGAAACGACTCGTTTTCCGGGGTGAATTTGTGCGTCGTCCCAGGGCATCATTCTTATGTTTTCTGGGTTTGCATGGTGTGTTGGACTGCTTTGAAACAGAGGGAACATTCACCCGGAAGATATTTTTTTAATGTTGTCGTGAATTTGCCCTAAAGAACCACAAAGTACTTCAATACCCAGGAAAGAACTCTGTATGGATAATGGATGGCGCTCGCATCCATTGCGATGCCAACATCATTCTGTATTTTCGATCCATAGGCATCATTCCAGTGTTCCTACCTCCTTACTGTCCCTTTTTCAATCCGGTGGAAATGATATTCGGCATGATGAAATCACGAATTAGGAAAGTATACGTAGAAAATCGAAACGAAAACCTGTCCCATTTGGCTCTAAAACATTTATGGGGTTGGAAAACTATGATTGTACCAAAATTTATCATCACTGTGGATATTCACCGGGTGGAGTCTTTAACCCTTCAGTTGGGTTGTCGCAAAATGCTGGGCAGCCAAATTATGCTAAAGGAGAGTGAAGTTAACAAAAGTGTGAGTAAAACGGCTTTATTTGAATAAAACTGTTCCGGTACAAAAATCACGTATGTATTTGAAAATGATGATTCACGAATGATCAATATCATACATATCCGAAACGTTTTCTGCAAGGGAACGGCTTACTTCAATCTCCTCTGGTCTGATAGAGTCCTGCATTGCTGAAACTAGACTCGAATTGATCGATGATCGAGCCCGCAGTGCACTAATGCGGTGCTTTACCCTCTGTCCCAGTGCAATCAATTGGTCGGCCTCTTCTTCCAATACTGTTAGCTCCGTTGAAAATGCGTCATTGATGGTGCTGTAAACAGATAGCCCATTTCGAGTACTTTCCAGCTGCACAGCTTCGGAAATAGGTACAGACCTGAAGAACTTAATTATGGAGTACGGAGGTAACTCTGCCATTCTTCGTTCCCGTTCGTGTGCTGGAGCCGTGTGGATGTAATTAGCCCACAGCTTCCACGCGCTAGCGTGACCGGTAAACTGTCTTCCATGCAACTCTCGAAGCTCATTAGCCAACACGGAGAGAGACTGGTTGTTGGGAGCACCCGCTCGATCAGTATCCTGAAACTGCACCAATTGTTTGTTGACCAAATCCCACAGCTGCTTGCACGATACAGCCGTTGAGTAGATGTGTACATGCACTCGTATGTCCTTCGTGTTCCAGCTAATCAGCAGTTTGCTGTCAATTTGGTCAATGTTTATTCGTCTCCGATTCTTATTCTGCATATAAACGAATTTCGAAAAAACGAAACTATCAGCCCAGGTAGGAACCTGACTTCCATTATCCTCGATGAAAATAACTTCACTACAAATGACCGGCTTCACAATTGTCCACACACTTTGCAGAATCTCCTCTACTGTATCACCTTACAGTATTTTTGAAGCTATCAAGCTACCGGATGTTTCTCCAACAAACCTACGCTTGAAGAATGATCCACACAGCGATAAATTATGTTTCCTTTCGCTTTTGCCCGTACTTTTCGCAGGCTCGTCAGGTTTTCCTCCATTCGTGTATAAGTTTCCTGCAGCGTCATCATGACCCAAAGGAAGAATCAGAGGGTCACAATCATCGTCGAGAGCTTCAATGGAGTATTGGTCAGAATTATCATCAAAGCTGACGTCGTAATCCACTTGATTCATAGTGTCCCGATTCTCCTGATCCTCAGCGTTAGCCTCGTCATCGTCCATGTTGCTGCAAGCAAACAGTATCAAAAGTTGAATCAGTCAATGATCAAAAGATAATAAAAACTTAATTTTACCTGGTAATCGTTGCTACTACAATATTTATTTCGACAACAATTTTCAAGCGCACAATTCCGAGGCAGCAGGAAACTTGAAGAAAACAACAACAATCAAATTTCAACTCTGTTTTGTTTCTGTTGACAATCTGAAGGATCGCTTCTGGCAGTGTTGCCAGGATGTATTGTGCATAAAAAAATTGTAAATTGTAAATCCAAAAAAGTTTTTTTTCTTTGTTATGATTTGTAATGACGCAAAAAACAATAACAAAAGATTACAAAGTACATGGGATAATTGTTGCGTGCAAATAGTGAATGCTTAGCACTTATATTCAAGCAAGTATTCAAGAATTTGTTAAATTATTTATCAATACGATATCAAATCTTTTCTGGCAACAATATAGCACAAGGATAAATTGTGATTTGAGAAGTGTGTTGAAAATCCAACTTTCAATGCAAACTGCAATAATTATAAAAAAACAATTTTTCATGCCAATTATAGGTAGAGTAGAGAACTACTTCGGCCTAATCGCCCATTTTGGGCCTATCGAGCAGAAAACTTCAAATAAATCTATGATTTCAGAGTTAACAAGTCAATTATGCGTTTGGTACGATACTTTAGTTAATAAGCTACCGAACGAAGTCAATGAGAACGCATGTTATGAAGGTTTGCACCCATTATTTCCAAAAACAAAAGAAGCGCTACGACCGAATCAATTTTTATCTTCATCCGATAGGCCGAAGTGAATTCATTTGCGTTTCAATTGCGTTTCAATGCGTTAGGCCGAGTTTAAAATCCGTAGGCCGAGTTTGGCGTCAAGAAGCAGTGTTGGACTTTTGACAATATCTCAACGATTGGTTTCTCTTTATCAAATCTTACGGTACGTACGGAAAGGTAAATAAATTTGGTAGCCATCGGTAATAGTAACATTCCGTTTGGTGCTAAACTGAACTAGATTAAGAAAGACTAAGTGTGGGTTATGCTTAATAGGCCGGAAATGCGGTAGTTAACCCTATAAGCCGCCGTAAAGAAAAGTATTCACTATGTTTGAATGAAGCGAATCGGATGAATAGAACAAGACTTATCATTGACAAGAGTTCTCAAAACATGGTTCCGAGAAAAACGCGTTTAATGTTTTTGGCGTGACATGGGTCCGTTCGAGACGCTCTAACTCGAAAAATACGTATTGTATCGGAATATCCTTTGACACATATGTAGTTTTCATTTTATGTAAAAAAAAATCGATTTTTTCGACAAAATCTAAATGAACCTCCCCTTAATTTTCTAAAAAATATCACCTGAATATCCTTGGAATTCCTTACAATTTTTCCTAAAAATTTTGTTGGAACTATCATCAGAATTCTGAATTCAATTTCCTTGGAAATTCCTTGTAATTACCTAAATTTTTTTTCTCTGGGATCCATTCCCGTCCGGTAAAATGTGGAAGTGCTTCAAAGAACACTAATACCCCGTTCACATTACAGCGTATATCACGTGATATATGCTGTCTTGTAATCAGCACTCATACATCTAGTTTTCATTGGAAATCCTATGTATGAGTGCTCATTGCAAGACAGCCTATATTACGTGATATAGGCTGTAATGTGAACGGGATATAAGCTGAGAGCAGGCAAAATGCTAATATGCTATAGGCAGTAAGCTTGAAATGCCATGTAGCAGTAATACAAATGATATGTTTAAGCACTGAAAACAGTTTATTATTTGTTACAGAGTAGTATTTGAAGTCGTGAATTTATTTTGAGAAATCGCGAATGTAAAGCTTCAAATTTTAAAAATCGTATAACAGCCCTGCATTTTGTATATTGCCGCTTTATTTTTTTATAGGCACCCTAATGTATACATTAGTTCCTAATACAGTGTTTAGAATCCAGCTGCGGAATGGCTTCATGCTTTACAAAGGCTCTGGACAACGTTAGAACCATAGCGCGATTCGTGAGAAATCATGTTTAATTTTTTATTGCAGTCACTTCAACACTTTTAGATCATTCCTGACTTATCCTGGGATGAGATTTGAATTTGTTCAATATAGTGATAATTCAACACATCAGTGAGTGTATTGCCTTGGTCTGTGATCGCGAGAAATTTTTCCTCGATCCCATTTTTTTCCAGGAGTCGATATTTTTCCCTACACGTATGCACTACCCGCGGATCATTTTCGGATTAAAAATTATCCACCATCAATTAGGTCACACTGGTCAGTAAATAATTGTACATATGACTGTAAAATGCAACCTCTACTGTGTTAACATAACAAAGGCAGGTATGATGCAAGGTAGCTGCAAATTTATTGAATTTCATTCACAGCTTGTCGTTACAAAAAATGCTGATTTATCATATCAGCTTAAAAGATCTGCACCGGACCAAAGAGATCCACCTAATGCATTTCTTCTAAACCACAAATTGGATCCCAAGTCACGCGATGTCCTTTTGTCCTATTTCATCCCCGTTTGCCATGCATTAGGGCTCAATTAAATGTCGCAACATGGCTTGCAGTGCCGCAAATCTCGGTGAAACCAGTTCCAGCAAAAACACCACCAAGCTGACCCCGATAAAGCACCCGTACAGCTGAAAGCACCCAGCCAGATGCCGAGTGCTCAGCTGGCTCGGTTCGGATTTTTCCTTTGGGCGCGAGAAAAATTCATAATCACCGTACCGTTTAACCCAATCGCCTACCAGTCCGGATGGTACAATCATCCGCACCTGTTGGTCGAACACATCTCGCAAGATGGACCTCTTGGGATAGTACAGCCCCACCGGGAAGACCGACACGTGTTCCCTGGCGATGTGAACGAAGCGGCTTCTTGGATTAACTCGATTGTTGTACGCCACCAGATCCATCGGACTCAGGATCACGCCATCCGTGAGCCCCAGGCCGAGTTGGGCGACCTTGTTACCCAAGCTGTCCTTGCCCGGAGGGATGATGATCGTTCTACGGTAAGAGATTGTTATTGATATCTGCAGATGATAAATTCGACGGACACTCACCGGCGGACGATGTTGGGATTGTGGACGAAAAATCGCGTTCCGATGTCGACCATGTAATACCACAGCCCAGAACGATCAATTTCGGCCATCGTCTTTAGCGGGGGATATTGCATAGGTTTCTGGAGATATCGGAACAGTGAACCCTGATAGAGGCTACCGATTATGAAGCAATAAATGACCCAAAGTAGAAACAATGTTCGGGCAAAGTTCCTGACGGGGGGGCGCGGAATCGATCCTCCGTATAAAAGTGCCACAGCGTTCAGGAACGGAGCTGACACGCCCCTTCCGTACACGAAAGCTCGAACGGTTCGGTTAGTGAAACTCAAGGCCAGGGTGACCAAGCCCGCCATGATCAGAACGAAGGCTACCATCTCCAGGACCGATTTTTGAAACGGACCGAACAGTTTCTCGAACGCCGTGTACGGACGCCCATGTGGAACTGCAAACAGAATCCTACTGGTGTAGTGGGATATTCCGGCCTTGAGATAGCGATACCGATCCGGATCCATGGCCAAACACCCGATGGCGAAATCGACCTCCTCTTCCTGAGCCATCTTCATCAGGCCGGTACTGTTGCCCATCGGTCGAGCGAATCCCCACTGTCCGGGAGAATTCTTCCAATGTAAGGTAAAGTTCAGTTTATCCGCGAGCACTTGCATCAGGTCTCCCTCGAATCCACTGACTTGAAAACTCCCGTCCGATCGCATATCGCGGTAGATCGTATACGGTTTCGCTTCGAAAGTACCTCCGAAAAGTGTACAACCGTGGAAGTTTCTCAGACGATTCCAGTAAAATACCATTTGGCTGAAATCCCATTCGGTGGTGGTCAGGTTGAACAACAATTTCGGCCGTATCCTTCGACACTGACCTTCCCGGTACGGAAAGTAAATGTACACCAAGATGTGACCACTGCGCTCCAGGATTACGTTGACATTCACTAGCTGCAGTTTCCATAGGTGGATCAGAATATTTTCTACGGTACCATCGGGTGGATCAGGTTCACTGATTACAATAAGATAATATCCGGATGGGTCGTATCGACGTGGGCCCCTCTGGGCGAAAAGTTTGCCGAGTGCTTTGTATCCATCGAGTAAAACGACGTGGTAGAAACGCGGTTGAACAACCGCAGTACTGACTAAGCACATCGCTATTCGACCTTGGAGGTTCTTCAGAATGCCATCAACTAGATCTCGTTGGCGGTAGAAAGCTCTCTGGCTGGTGCGCGCCTGGTCTAGATAAATGGCTTCGTAGGGGTGAGAAAAGTGCTGCAGAAGTATGCTGACGATGGTTCGAGAGAGGCGATCATTGTCCGCAGCAGTTAGGTGGTAGCCAAACAGAATCACTATGAGTAACTGACTGTGAAACATGATGAACTACGAATGATAATTGACGGCTTCGATCATAGGCTTAAATTAGGATAGACAATAGACTCTAAATAAAACCGAACAATAGAAGCTAATTACATTAAAATGTCCCTGGTAGTGACGTCAATTTGTTCTACATCGCTAATCAATTAGCCTAAGAAGTGTATATTTAATGGTTCAACGCATCACGAGTTCCATTTTAACTCAGAGAGACCATTGGGAAACATGAAACTAGTTCTGATTTCGCTTATCGCCATTATGGACTCCAGTTTTGCTACAGTCCCCAGCAGTACGGGTGCGACATCGCAGTTGATTACCGAAATCATCGACGAGTACTACGTTCTGCGTCAAGTGCCGTTGCTGTTCGCAAGTGAAGCCAAGCATATTCAACTGGACCTGATCGACGAAATCATTCCAAATTTGCGCTACCCTAGAGTAATTCAGCTTGATCCCACCGTCTGCGGATATTCGTCGTGGTCTTACGCTATATTTTTCCTGGATAACTACGAAAGCCTCAAAACACGCATTAGCCAGTTGAACTCGGATCGGTATGATCTCTTCGGATACTATACATTTGTGTTCTATCACATCAACAAAACGGATATTCTGAACACGTTCAACGCCCTCTGGAAGCTCAAAATCATCCGTGCCGTACTCATCGTAGTTAGCGATGATAAACCGCAAATATACAACTACTCTCCTTACTCGCAAAACCGTTGCGGGAAACCTACAGTTCAGCACGTTCAGAACCGGGCATCTACCGAGCTATTCATGCAACATCTGAACGATTTCTACAGCTGTCCACTCCGATTAGGCACCTTCCAGTCACCTCCTTTCGTCAATATACAATCTCCAGGACCGAACCGTCCAGTCGTAGTCAGTGGCTTCGAAGGAGATCTCGTCACCATGCTCTCTGTCCAGCTAAACTTCAACCTAACTGTAGTAACTCCTCCGGACAATGCCGAATGGGGTGAAGCTCGAGCCCAAAATAGCACCGGTTTGATGGGAGTCCTACAGGCTGGATTAGTGCACTTTGGAATCGGTTGTCTTGGTATAATTCCCCAACGGAACGAAATCCTCCAGCCTGGTAGACCGCATTACACCTCTCGCATCCTGTTTGCCGTTCCAGATGGACTTGCTTGGACTTCCTTCGAAAAGTTATTCAGACCGTTCCAAAGCTTCGTTTGGTATTCGTTTGGTGGCCTGATTGGCGGTATGGCTGCTCTTGCACTGTTCCTGAAATTTGCTCCGGATACAGTTCGGGACTTCATCTATGGAAAGGATAGTCGAACTCCTTTTCTGAATTTCTTCAACATTTACTATACCGGAGTACTGCATAAACTTCCCAAACGGAACTTCGCACGAACGCTCTTAATCCTCTGGATCCTACACTGCTTTGTAGTCCGAAGTCTGTACCAAGGATTGCTGTTCAAGTATCTTCAAGCGGAATCCAACCACAAGCCGGTAGAGACAATCAACGAAATTGAGCAATCTGATTTGTACTACTACATCTTCAAGATGTCCGAGCGATTCTTCCAGAATAATTCCCGCGTGCTGAGTCGCGTTCGGCTCTTGAAACCCGGAAACGACACCATAAACGTCCAGATGGATGCGCTGTCCACCAGGAAGCTTCGGGATGGTGTTGTGCTGGTTACCCTCGAACATCTGGCCTACCACAACACGCTCCGATTGGAAAAGGGCTTCGTGCGATGCACCCGGGACGCGATCAGTTCGTATCCCATGGTTATCTATTATCCGAAGCGGACGTTCTTGGTGCGGGTTCTGAACCGGGTCATCGGACAGATCGAAACCGCTGGACTGATGGAGTTCTGGGTGCGACGGTATGGAAACTATAATTTCTTTCCGAAGATGATCACAGTGGGACAACCGACGGCGCTGAGCAGTCATCATCTGATGGGATGCTATCAGAGTGCGTGCGTTCTGGGGATTCTAGCCTGTGGGGTGTTTGCGCTGGAGTTGGTTTCGGTGAAGATTGCTATTCTGAGGAGGTTTCTGGAGTTTCTTGCAGATAAGTGATTCGGCGAGGTTTTGTAATGAAAAGCAGACCAAAAAAGCACGTGAATGCATAGTTGCTACAAGATGGTCAATATAAATCGAAATCTACTTTGATACATTAATTTCCTGTCCCAATATCCATAAGCTTCTATGTCGGAATTTTTAATCAATATTAAATCAAGCTGAACATTGCATTAGGTCCAGATTCTCTTCGTCGACTTTCTCTTTGTATCCACACGGCCATCTTAAGACATTTCCAGGTATTTTCAGCACACATATCGATAAAGCAGCTGTCATCTACCATCTAATACGACGAACACAACAAGAAACGGTTATATGCTCATGTTATTAACGAAAGAGAAAGTCGACGAAGAGAATCGATCGGATAATGCACTGGTCCTTTGAAGTTTTTATGGGAATTACTATGGGAAATGTGAACTTTTTTGTTCTCATCGTTCTAGCAACCGGTGGAAACTAACGATTTTATATTGCCTCACTACTTGACTAGCCTATTGGTCCCAAGCAAATCGATTAACGTACCTTATTCTAATCGAAATTCTAGTACTACACTATGTTTGTTTTGATTTGCAACCTGACAGAAGTTCCTTGGTATAGGAAGTGACTGCCGAATACGTTCCATTCAGACGACATGCCAGTAGGTTCTTCAATGCTGTTGTTTTTACCGCATCGTCGATTTCCACTACAGGGACAACATTTGTAAGATCGCTTCAAGATTGTTTTTTAAAGATTTTTATGGTTTTGAGTCTATACATTTTGGCGTTTTCCAGATGTGCACTAGTAAAATATTTTCCTTTATTAAAAAAATGTAAAAACCGATCTAATTCCAAATATTTTTTTTTTATTTTACTGATGAATTCAGCAAAATGGAAACCGTTTACCGAAATTCAGTTATTTTTTAAATTATTTAAATATTTATTTAATTCATCGGTAATCATGTTCCGAAATTGTCGTTAAAATTTGACAGTTGTTAGAATTTCTGTATTTCTTTCTTTCTTCTTTTTCGCATTTCAAGCTTATTGCGTATGGCATTATTAGCTTATTGCGTGCTCTCAACTTAGTGTTCTAGATGCACTTCCACAGTTATTAATTGAGAGCTTTCGATGCCTGTACCATTTTTGCATTAGTATAATTGTGTGGCAGGTACTCTATGCCCAGGGAAGTCGAGACATTTTACAACCCGAAAAATTCCTAGACCGGACCGGGAATCGAACCCAGCCACCTCCAGCATGGTCTTGCTTTGTAGCTGCGCCTTTGCCGACTGAGCTAAGGGAGGTCCCTTCTGTATTTCTTATTTCTCGGAAAACTGAACTTTTAACAAACTTTTAAACGAAATTTTAGCTGTTGGATTCTTGGCAAAACAAAATTAACGTCTTCGGCGAAATAAATTAACTGTGTACACTGCCGATGATAAGTTTAAGGACACCCCAAAAAACCATGCAAATATGTTTTGTTCAATTTTTGATCTCCAAAGGTTATTTGAATGGTATGAATGGTATAGCATAAGTGTTCTACTACTACTTTTATTTCAAAATTTGGCCAACTCAATTCTGAGAAAATCAGTCACGATTCTTCAGAGTAAATTTTGAAAAATATTGTAACTTTAGGTGAACTTTAGCACAAAAAATTTGAAATGCCTTTCAAATGATCTTAAGAGAACGAAAATTGGACGTAACATAACAGAGATATGAACATAACAAATCTGTCGTGTTTTTTTTTTGGGGTGTCCTTAAACTTATGCTCTGGTGTGTACATGAAGTTTGAGCAATTTTAGTAGAACGCTTCTTATTTGAGTGCCCATGTTCAAACTGTTATTCAAATCAATTGAAATTTTGTACATTTGTAGCTAAAATATTGATCTTTAAAACGCCGTTGATTTGACTAAATTTTGCACACGACCAAAACAAGTTTTATGAGAGAAAAAAATCACAATTTTATTTAATTTTGTCCGGTACTGTAGTTGGATAAATTTAGGCTTTCACACGAAACAGCACACTAGATTATTTCCAAGAATGAACACCGAACTTTCATGAGTAGTTTGATACAATCTTCTGACGGATATCTACTTTTTAATCGGAATGTCACCTATGCTACTAGCGAGCAACCATCTGAAAAGCACCCGAACGAAAAAAAAACCCAACGACCTGTTCCAATCGAATTACATCGTCACGGTTTCCAATTTCAAATAATAAAAAAACAGTGTCGTAATTTAAATGACTAGAATTGTAAGTCAAGCCCCTTCTTGAGTTGAACAACTCTTGTCTACGTAAATCGAAATATGCTTTAATAGCACTCTGAGAAAACCGGATATCGGATTCAATCGTTTTTATAAGCACATTAATCAACCCATAGGTTTTGACTTTTGGGCATTCAATGGTTGATCAATCTGTACTATTATTATTCTTCAGGGTTCAGAGATGGTTGATAATGAAAAAAATATGCATCAAAGGCACTGCTACTCAAAATCGGAAAAACGTAGCCCAGGAAACGCCTAAATTTATGTATCTCCTATGTGATCATCGATGATCAACCGATGGTTTTTGTGAGTTTTGATAATTTTTACCGATTGGATATACTTAAAATTTAGCAAAAATCAAGATTAATGATTGTTGGAACTAACTCTTTGATTAATTTGGAGACGCAATAGTTGATGACATGCGAAATCAATCATTCATTCATTCTTAGGTTTATATTGTAGCATGATAATGTGACTTCTAAACATACATGATTTATAATTAATTTGATTCTTAAAGTTTGGACGAGCCATGCTTTTGAAGTGTATTTATATTTATTTCCACTGGTGTATATGTATGCATGTATTGACAAACCAACTCCCACTGTCTGCCAGTGGCATTATGCATAAAACCTCCCTGCAATCAGTGCAATCATATGTCTTATGACTGCAAGAAACTTGGATCTGAGAGTTAGGATGTTACACCTCTACTGCAGATCCAATAGCCTATTTAAAGAACGCAAGCATTGCGAAGCCATGTCCACACACGATAAGCCCCGCCCCAATAAATTATCGATGCTAATAAACCACTGATAATGTATTGAAACTTTCAATCAAGCAGAAGTGCAATTCTTGTTTGACGTATTTAATGAGCATCAGTTAACTGCTGTCTTCCGGAACTGAATGAAAATCAAATTTAATTTTGTTTAATCGGCCATTTTTTTTTTTTTTTCCTTTGGTTTGTTTTTTCCGTCGATCTTGTTTTCCGTGCTGAGCACCAATGCTACCGACGTGCCAGGAAGGCAGCTTCCACACCTGGACCCTACCTATCGACCCATCAACTCATGAACCGGGGACCAACGGCTTTACTTCCCATCCGAAGGAAGGCGTGATCAGAGATGTTATGCCTCAGAACATCCCGGCGGCGCCGACTGGGATTGAACCCAGGCCTGCTGGGGTGAGAGGTAATCACGCTTACCACTACACCACCGGCACCGTTGTTTAATCGGCCATGTACAGAACGTTATAGTCGATGGCGTGGTGCTGATGTACTCAATATTATTCGGCTCGATCCAGTTTTACTAAGTGGAAGGCATTATTTTGCAGTAGCAGAGCCGATTGGTTGTTGGGTAGGTGAGGAGTCATTTCCAAAGGTCCCACTTCAGCTTCAAGTGAAGTTCCACTTGGAATGGTCTGAAGACAATCACTCACTATCAGGGTTGCTTCCACTCACTTCGATGTCAACAATGTTTTCCGAAATTATGAAATTATTAGATGTTATAATGATATTTTGAACTTATAGGTTACTAAAAGAGGTTAACCATAAAACCTGTCAATTTCGTTTTCAGAGAGTCACAATAAGCGAATGAACGGTCACGAATCGTAAAAATGCTGATTGGGACTCTCTGAAGGCGAAATTGACAAGATTTATGATTAACATCTTTTTATACTTACAACCCTTAATTAATGAACAAATTAATGAACGATAACCAAAATTTTCGATCTTTTCCATAAATGGTTTGGATGATACCCCGCAAAATTACCATACAAATTTTATTAGGGAAGTACAACACATCATTATAACATCTAATGATTTCATAATTCTTTAAACATGTTTTATAGAAAGGTGAGTGGATGCAACCCTGATAGTGAGTGCTTATCTTCAGTCCATTCCAAGTGGGTCTTCAGTTAAAACTGAAGTGGGACCTTTGGAAACGACTCATCACCTTCTCAACAATCGATCAGCGTTGCTACTTCAAAATAATGCCTTCCACTTAGTTGTGCTCATTGTGTAATTGTGGGTTTTTACCAACTGTGAGATAGATCATAGAGTTGGAATTAGAGAGGGAAGTACCTCCAGCCCAGCCTATCACGCTTTGTTACATTATTATGTTGTTAATGATCGCACCGCATCAATCCGACACAGGGATGCCAGGTGTATTTTGAAAAAATCTTCATAGAAATGAACGAAGACACACCGTTATTCTTCAAATGTGGGGGTGTTCATATTCACAAAAAAAAAAGCCTTTACAGAAGTTCTGGTAAGTTAAGGAAACATAACTTGGTTTCAGGGAACTACGTAAAACTTCAGGGAGCGTTGAAGATCTTCAAAGAATTTAGTAGATCTTCAGGAGGCAGCGTAGCACTTCAGGGAACTTCGCAGATGTTTCGGCAACCGTGTAGAAATTTTGGAAGCTTTCTAGAATTGCTGTAAAGTTTAGGGATCTTCGAATAAATTCATTGAACTTCGTTGAAGCTTAGAGGTAACTCTTAGACCAGAAGGTCCCGAAGAAACGTGTTTTACATTTTTGGCTCAGCCCTGGTACTCTCTTCGGTCCCAAGCTAATCGATGCACCCCTAGAAACATATGAAAATCCATGAACCCCTCATTTTATCTGTCTATCATTGTGAATCAAAACAAACATTGTGTAGTACTAGAATTTCGACTAGAATGGGGTACGTTAATCGATTTGCTTGGGACCAATAGGCCAGTCAAGTAGTGAGCCAATTTAAAGTCGCTTGTTTCCACCGGTTGGTAGAAGTGTAGACC